AATTACTCAATACATGATTACCGCAGCAAGACTTCTTTATGCACAATTTTGGAAAACCCAGACACTACCAACAATACAAGAATGGTTGTTAAAACTGATGGAAATGGCAGAAAATGATAAACTGACTTGCGTACTAAAAGAAAACTCAAATAACTATTACCTTAAAGAATGGAAACCATTGATGGACTGTTGGTGTGGGTCTTCCGGACTGTGTGGCCGGGAGATACGATATGAAAAATAGAAAACTTCCAGTCTATATCTGGTCTTAGGAATAATAAGACTTTCATAGGTGCTAGTTTTTAATACATTAAGTAGGAATAATTCTTTGTCAAAACATATCCCATTACATTTATAATCTAATCTTCAAATCCCCAGGCAAGCTTCACCCCACCTGCATTTTGCAAGTAGCCCATCAATGGTTTCCATTCTTTAAGGTAATAGTTATTTGAGTTTTCTTTTAATAAGCAAGTCAGTTTATCATTTTCTGCCATTTCCATCAGTTTTAACAACCATTCTTGTATTGTTGGTAGTGTCTGGGTTTTCCAAAATTGTGCATAAAGAAGTCTTGCTGTGGTAATCATGTATTGAGTAATTCTAATAACTTCCAAGTCAGTTTATCATTTTCTGCCATTTCCATCAGTTTTAACAACCATTCTTGTATTGTTGGTAGTGTCTGGGTTTTCCAAAATTGTGCATAAAGAAGTCTTGCTGTGGTAATCATGTATTGAGTAATTCTAATAACTTCCAAGTCAGTTTATCATTTTCTGCCATTTCCATCAGTTTTAACAACCATTCTTGTATTGTTGGTAGTGTCTGGGTTTTCCAAAATTGTGCATAAAGAAGTCTTGCTGTGGTAATCATGTATTGAGTAATTCTAATAACTTCCCTCTTAACCCTTGGACCGTTGCGGCTTTCTTTGGCCCCGATCCCCCGTTCCCTCCGAAAGACAAACGGACACAACCACGTAGCAGAAAAAAAGGCCCTTTATTATCCCTGAATTGCATTACAATACTGCAGGTACTTTCACATCAGGAAGACCTGTATTAACCTGTGATCCGCCCAGTCCAACATCTGGCTGGCTGGGGTAGGGTGGGGGGGAAGCTAAATCATGCAGAGAAAATTATTGCTATCGTATCTTATTTACAGTCTAAACACCGAAAGGGAACTGGGGTACCGTCCCAAGTGCAAAAACTACAGGCAGGAAACCGGGAGCTCTGGTCTGGACAGGGAGGCTCCCAGCCTGTCGTTGCCCGCGGGGAAGAGTTCGTCAAGGAAATCGTATCCATGGCACGGTTGCGGTGCCTCGCGTGTCCGTCTGGGCACTCGCGTGTCATGAATCCCAGAAGCTGTGCCGGAGGGGATGCGGCGACACGCGGACCTCCGATGCCGGCCCTGCGTGCTTCCGCGTTGTGCTGTCTGCGCCCCAGTCGTGTGAAGGAATGTGGCGCTGGCCTTGAGGAGGGGCGGGAGAGGGGAAACGGCTGCTGGGCC